ACTTTTTCCAGCAGCTTCACATTCTCCTTCTTAATCCTTATTCTTCTACTGCTTCTTTATTTCTATTCTTCTAACACTAATAAAATAACCTATTATTTCTTTATTCCTTATTGGGCTCCAAACTAATACACCCCCTTATTACTTTTATTCCTTCAAAAACAAACCCACATCCAATAGTATTATAATTCTAATATTATTTCTCCACTTAATAAATAAATCCAATTAATCATAACACATCCTCTCAAATATTCGAAAAATAATTTAATTAAATAATTAATTAAATTACGGGCGCTACATCGCTAACACCAAAATCATGTCACAAATTTGTTTTTGCCACCTGAAGAAACACATCGCTGGAGAGCGCGTGGCAATGTTGTTGGGACGTGGGAAATATGTCACAACGTTGCCACGTGAAATTCACGCCGCAACAAACTTTATGGGGTCAAAGGCAGTCAGAGCAGAACAGAGGTCAGAGCAGGTTTTATATTCACTTTTACATTGTGTGTTGCAGCGTTTTTTTCATGTCACTAATTTGTGATGTGGAAAACACGTCGCAACTTATTTTTAAAAAAAATTATTTTCTATTTTAAATATAATAATTCTGATATAATAATTAATATTATTTTCTGTTTCATTAAATTTATAAATTAAATATTATAATTTATTTATTAAATTCAATATTATAAATCAAATTATCAAAAATAAAACTAAATATATCAATATATATAAATTAATATACTTAATATAATAAAATTAATAAACTAAAATTTAAATTTAATATTTTTAAATATAAAATATGATTATAAATTTATATTAGTACACAAATAAAAAAATAAATAGAAAATAAAAATAAAACTAAGCAGAAGGATCATTCGAGTCGTCGGAAAAATCGCGAAGAAAGTCATCATTATTTTGGCGGTTATTATTTTGGCCACCATTGTTGGGATTTCCACCAAATGCTTGTATAAATTGTAGCATTTGCTCCTCCATATCAGCCTGCCTCTTCGCCATTGCCTCCATTTCTCTATTATGTTCACCCTTCATTGCCTCCATTTCAGCCTTCAATGTCGCGTCCATTTGGGCCTTCAATGCCGCCTCACGTTCTTCGGACTCACGTCTAGCCAATTGTCTTACCGTTTCTAACTGATCTGGTGTCAAATTTGTTTGACGTGACCCTCCTTCACCGACCGGAGCTCTCTGATACAACGCTCTATCCCCACTCCTCAAGGTGCCCGCCAAATTTCCACCACCAAAAAAGCACCTGTTAGGCCCCTTTCCCCCAACAACTTGACTCCAAATATAGAAATCCACATCTGGATGAACCAGTTTTCCCGGAGGAGGAGTATACTGAGGATTATGGGTCAGAAAATCTACAAGCAAGGCCTGATAATCCTCCTACACATACAATAAAAAAATCAAGTTAAATATATAAGTAAAATTAATGAAATAAAATAAAATAAAATAAATAAATAAAAAACATATAGCCACGTGATTGTAACGCCACAACTTATCAGTTGCCACTCAATTTTCACGCCACAACATTTCATTTGCCACGTGAAAATCACGTCACAAAATTGCTTAAAAAATAAAAAATATATAAACATAAATTTACTTACCAGCTTCGTCAGTAAATTCCCCCGATTTCATTGTCCGAGTTTCGGTAACCAGCTCAATCATCAATGGTTGTCTCCCAAAATGCTTAGCCTAAATAAAAAAATTAACTTAAATTAATAATATATGTTATAAATCCAAATATGACTTTAAAACGTGATAATAATTACCATGCGTCGAGCATGCTCAGCAGTAATAATACTTCTAACAACATTAAGGAAACCCCCTTTTTCTGATGCCCTCATCTTCTTTGCAATTTCATATTTAGCCTTAAATTCATCTGATTCCCAATACTTAAGAAGTTGTTCAAAAACTTCTTTGCCTATCCATTTGGGACGAATGCCCAAAAGTTGCCAATTCTCTCTCTAACACGTCGTAGCATGTCAGAAAGTCGTCTTGAACTCCTGCCAAAATAATATTTTTTTTTACTTTGTTATGGTTCAGTGGATCCCAAACACATTTCGCCTGCAATGTTGTATGACATTAGATAAATTATAACAATAATGAAAAGGTCATTTAAATAAAGATAACTTAAGAAATAAATTAATTATACCTGAAATTGCTTAAACCATTCGTCTTCATCTGAAACTTCTCTAAAACACTTCAAAAAATTTGTATAATTCTGCTGAATTATATAATTTATAACCCTGGCAGCAGTACGACTCGGCCCGAAACTAAAATAACAATAATTGAATTAGCATAATTAAGTATATAAAGTTATATTAAAAATGGAAATGTGTACTTATAAATAAAAATCAATAAATAAGAAACTTACGAGTTCCCTTCAGGCCAAATCCAAAATCTCCCATCAATGGTATGAATCTCACTCGGATCATCATCCCCTTGAAGATCTCTCCCATTTATCTGATCATCGTCCATACCAAGATCGTCATCATCCGACTTTGCATGATCATCGGATGCAGGTACATGTGTGGGATGTGGGGTGCGACCAGTCTGTGTGGGTCGTGAAGAGGTGGATCCTCTAGGCTGTTGGACGGATGGGGGCATCTGTGTAGGAAGTGGGGTGCTGGATCCTCCAGGCTGCTGCATGAATGCTGGATCCCACAGGTAGATGTTCCATGCAGTCAAAAAAACCAGGCGGAAATACTTGTTCCAACTTACAGAGAATGACTGGAATATTTTGGTCCAACTTAATGATGTCATCCACTCTTAAAGCTGGCGCACAAATATCTCTAAAAAGTTGACTAATTTCAGTGAGTGGATTAAGCACATGTTTTGGTAGATAACCAAACTCAATTGGTAGCAATTGTTCCATAAAAACATGGCAATCATGACTTTTCACACCATGCAACTTCCCAGTGTTAGCCTCGGCACACCTTGCTAAATTTGAAGAATACCCGTCGGGCATTCTCAAACCTTTTAGCCATCCAGAAACCTCTTTAGCTTCTTGGGGGGTCAGACTGAAACAAGCTTTGGGTTTAAATAATTTTCCATTTGGTTGAGGCTTCAATTCCAACTCTTTACGATTACCCCAAATTTCCATGTCTTGTCTAGCCTTCACATTATCTTTTGTTCTGTCTTTAACATCCATCACTGTGTTAAATACGTTATCAAAAAAATTCTTCTCAATATGCATAACATCAAGATTATGGCGCAACAAATCATCTTTCCAATACGGGAGGTCCCAAAATATACTTCTTTTTGCCCAATTATGTGTGACCCCATATCCTTCAATTCTACTTGCTTTGCCAGTATCTGTAAACTTTGGAAGTTCACAAACTTGGTTCCATATAGCAACTAGTGACAATCGAGGCGGAGGAAGATCTGTTACCCGTTCGTCCTTTTTGAAATTTGTCTTGTTTTTTCTAAAGGGATGATTTGATGGTAGGAATCTGCGGTGACAGTCAAACCACGAGCTTTCCCCCATTTATCCAATGTAAACGCCTTAGTGCATTCCATGCAATGCAGACAACCTATTCTGCCATGCGTACCCCAACCAGACAACATGCCATATGCTGGAAAGTCATTAATGGTCCACATCAAGGCAGCTCGCATAGAAAAATTTTGTTTACGGGATATATCATAATTTCGTTCTCCATTATTCCACAACCTCTTCAAATCATCAATTAAAGGTTGTAAGTACACATCAATCCCGGTTTTTAGACTCGACGGTCCTGGAATGACGCACGTCAAAAACATGTATGGTTTTGTCATGCATATCTCAGGAGCGAGATTGTAAGGGGTTACAATAATTGGCCAACAAGAATATGCACTTCCAGACGCTTGGACATATGGAGCAAAACCATCAGAGCATAATCCAAGCCTGACATTTCTAGGTTCTGCGGCAAAATAAGGATGTACCTCATCAAAGTGCTTCCATGCATGGTCGTCAGATGGGTGTCGCATATTTCCTGGGCTTGTTTTGTTTGTATGATGCCATGTCATTTGACTTGAACTGTGCATTGAAGAAAACATTCTTTTTAACCTTGGTATTATCGGAAGATAAAATATGGACTTTACTGCTACATGTTTTTGTTTACTGTTAATGGCTCTATTGCGAACTTTATATCTTGGACTCTGACAAAACTTACATTCCTCCGACGATCCATCTTGAGTACCAAACTCGTTGTCATAAAACAACATGCAACCATTAATGCAACAATCAATCTTTCTTACTCTTAAATCCAACTTCGAGACCAACTTATTTGCATCATAGAAACTTGCAGGCAAGTTGTCTTTCGTTGCAGTTGAGTCCAACATCATTTTTGCGAAGTGCTCACTACAACATTTAGGCTCTCCGGCAACAATTAGAAAACGTTTCCATAACTCTGAAAATCGTTGCCTAAAACAATAGGGGACGTTTTCTAGGCGTCTCCTGTGCGAGCGTTGCCTATTGTTTGAGGCGACGTTTTTTTATGTTTTTTGGGAACGCTTTTGAAAAATGCCGCCTATATTAAAGGAATAGGGGACGATTATTTACGGCCTCTGAGACAATGTTTTTTAAGCGTTGCGTTGCCAAATTCGGCTACAATTAACAATCGTTGCCTTAAACCTGAATCAGGAAGATCGTTTTTGAAGTGTAGTCATAGCTTATAGGTTGTTGTTTTATAGTGTCCACATAAAATATACAATTTTGCAATTATTATCAAAATAATATAGTCAATAATAATTGGCTTCAAAAATAATATTGATTATATAACTTAAACCATACATCCATAAAAGTTGTAATATAATAAAATCGAGTTCAAACTTTAATTCAAGATATAGTATATAGAGTACACAAAATGCCTAACGTAACAATATTACTTTTAATACTTTGAAGTATGACCCTAGTAAAATAACTAAAAACATAGTTTAGCAAAAGAACAAAAATCATATTTCAAGTTTAATGCTTTCAACTACAAGCCAAAAAAAAGACATCATCCAACTCATTCAAGTTTGTCTTCTAGGAGTAAAGCATCCAGATCGTCCTCTTGAAATCCGTTAGATATGTCATCCTCCATAAATTCTTCATCTACGTCGTCCTCTTGAAATTCACCATCTATATCCTCCTCTTGAAATTCATCATCTAGATCTATGTCGTCCTCTTGAAATTCGTCATCTACGTCGTCCTCTTGAATTTTATCATTTAGGTCGTCCTCTTGAATTTTATCATTTATGTCGTCCTCTTGAATTTCATCATTTATATCGTCCTTTTCAACATCTTCATTGATACATTGTTGCATAAGAAAATAAAATAAAACACATTAACCATAAGTATTTTTGGTCCAAAGGACAATTAAGACATCAACAAGAATTAAACCTCGCACAAATAAAAACTAAACCAATGAGCAAAACACATTGTTTATATTCTTCACATCTCATGGATGTGAATTAATTATGAAGGTTTTTAATGGATGTGAATTTTCATTCTAAACTGTAATAGGTGACATGAGCTTACTAGCAAATAAATCAATTATGAAAACCATTCTGTTTTTGGCTCACTATTCAGGACTTACAATAGCCTTTAACTGTATGTATGTATGTATGTATAACTTGTGTTATCCTTTTATGTTTATTTTTTGGAGTAAATGAACTCTGATGAACACTCTTACTTGTTGTATCTTCTTTGGTGTTCAGTATCATATGGATAAATTTACAGCATACATAGTGAGTGTTATCAAACAAGGGGGTCCCATAATCTTATCCCAGGCAAGTATGTTTGTGAAATATCAATGAAAGCTCGCACAAATAAAACAGTTTCAGCCACTTCTAGGTGTTGTCACTACTTAAACAATTCCAACCACTTACTTTATTATAGGTGTTGTCACTACTTGCAAATTTTTGCATACATTAACAACCATTTTGATACTATAACATAATTAGAAAAATATAAATCAATAATATTGGTATATATGGTTACCTTTCCATGACATGGAGCATGAGTTGATGTAGATGAATGCATTTGCGGTCTTATATCCTTTGGGGAACTATTAGCATCTCCATGAGATAATCCTAACAAATCTTCAATTGACTCTATATTAATTTGAGGATTGCATTGTTGTATTACGGTCTTAAAAGCATTTTGCAATCTATCAATCTTATCTTGAAACTCGTCCATTAATGTAGAGACCTCTTCACTGTGGGCTTGTTTCAAAGCATTAATCTCTGCCTTTCTCTTTAAGGAAGTTTTAGTTATGTTTCTCCCATAACAGCGTACCCTGCCTGGACACTCCTTTCCAAAAAAAACTTTAAAAACTTCTGTATCACTTTCCTCATTTTCAACCATTTCTTGAAGTTGGGACTAGCATAAATTACAAAAAAAAAATATTAGCTACTATTATAGACAATGTTGGCCGATTATATTAAGCAAACGTATTATATAAACAATGTTACATATAATTACTTTTCCTTGTAATATCATGGATATGACTCACCTTTTAAGTAAGTTAATGCTACTACAAATAGGATATCAAATACTACTGCGAAACCAAGTAATGCTGCAATTGATATCCAGAAAAAGTTGCTATCAAAGTCTAAACCACGACTCTTGAGAACCTCTCTTCCAACGGTGATGTTTCCTTCTTGAATCTGAAAAATAATGATGATGAAAATAACGATAGTAAATATAAACATATAACTGGAGATTCATGTTGTTACACTGTCTGTGTAAAAAGTTTTACACTGTAAACAAATTACAACCAGTTATATGCGTGACTTCAGTAGTATTTAGAATAAACGTCAAACATTTGTAATGATCTTCCGATTATGATTCATTGACAATATAAAAAATCATCATCCTGACAATGTATATGAATTAGATCCATATAAACGTATATTGTGACCTATCATGAAACCAAATAAATTATCTTAGAAGATACCTTTTGCCAGCGAGGAGCAAGAAATTCATTGAGTGTTATTCCTATTTCCCCATATGACATGGGAGAAAGCCAAAAACCCCACCTCAACCACTTTGGTAATGATGCTGCAGAGAATAAACTCCATGATGAGTAACTTGGTAATTAGTAATTTAGTATTACCACATGTTATAACTGAGACGATATAAAGCGGCTTACGTCGAGGAAGAATAAAGCCTCCAAACAAGAACATGAGTACTAAGACCAAAGAACCAACAGTTGTAGCTGCAACATCAGTTTTAAAAACTGCAGCAATGGAACGACACATAGAGGTTGATGACATGTGCAGAGCGATAAGCAAAAGGAACTGGCGGAGGAACCTGATTCAATAATAAATATATAAGAAAAAACTTGCAAAAGAAAAGAGAAAAAGTTTGACTATACTTACATATACACGAGTTACAAACCTTGTTATTTCTGGGTTGTAGCCTATAACATAATATGTTATTGATGTCCAAACAAGAGAATCAAGGACTGAAAATGGAATCTTTAGTATGGCAGCTGGAAGACAGTAAGCCCAAGCTGGATAGAGATAGAATGCTTTCTGCTTATAAACAACGGGTAGTCTAGTAATAGTCATTATCAACTCGGCAACTCCATTTTTCATTAGGCGTACAAGTGTATAGTACAGTGAACCTAATAAATAGTTTGATCCTAACAAGTCCACGTCAAGTTGTGTTCGCAAAAAGACCGTCATTGTTATGATTGCAGTGATTGTAAGCTGCAAAACAAGCGAAAAAAGAAGCAAGTTAGATTTTATATGTTCAAGTACGACTTAGCTGAGTTAAATTGAACTTGAATTTGATAGTAACCTGCACAGTTTTGAATATATAGATAAACGAGTTTCGTTTCATGAGAAGAATCTCCCTCTTCATACAAGCTTCAAACAAATCCCATTTTCCTAAGGAGTACTTGCTATATGATAAAGAACTTTCATGGGATTGAGATTTATCATATGGTTGTGAGAGCTCATCAACTAACATTCTTCCCCAGTAGCTTGTTTTGAAAATTTGAGAGAACTCATCCACTGAAACATAACTGTAAGGAATATCCATGCGGTACCAGTATTGCCTTTGATTCTTCTTAGACGTTACCTGCGTGCGCATGAAATTTGTAATTCGTGAAACTATGAGTAAAATCACTTGAACTTTGGCGCAATGGTAAGGGACACAGTTTCTATTCCTACCTCTTGAAGAAAGTCTTCCACTCCTTTTTTTTCAGGGCACCAGAAACCGCAATCCTTAAAGAACTGGAGTGCTTGACTGCAGGGGCCATGGTATACTATCTTCCCCTCTGCCATCAATATAAGATCATCAGACAACTCAAAGGTTTCTGGTGCTGGTTGGAGGAGTGAAAGCACTGATGTTGCATCATTGATGTGCACCAATTGCTGGAGACATGTAACTATTTGAAAAGTAGTAGAGCTGTCTAAGCCAGTTGGTATTTCATCCATAAAAAGTGCTTTTTTCTACCCTCAGTGAATGTTCGTAGTTCATCGTCAGTGAACGACGATGCTATGATATCTCTTTTCTCTCTACCTTCAGTGAATGTTGGTAGCACACCGTCAGTTTACGTCGGTGTTGTTATTCTTTTCTCTTTCTACCTTCAGTGAATGTCGCCTTCAGTAAAAGACTGTGTATCCTTTGACCCTTTTACCATCCTCTGTGAGTAAGGTCTTTTGATCCACCCGTGATTTATTTTCCTGGTCGGGTTTCCCATTTGACTCCTTATTTCCTTTGCTACATCCCCAGTGGTGTTTTACTTCCCTTTGAAGTTTCTCATATGCATTCATACCCATAAATAGAGTTTATTTTATATTTAAGTATCTCCGATCACATTGACACAAAGATTTTCAACCACCGTATCTCCAGATAGAAGAAACTTAAATAAGGGCAGCTGTTGTACCCCAATTTTTGCCCCTAAGATCCCTTCATCATACCATATTGATTCAATCACAACAAGATTACATTAGGGCTTTTGGTTCTCCTACCTATCTTTAGCTTTGCTCTTTGAGGAATCACCAAGCAACTTGACTTGTTTTTTCTTTTGTAATCATTCATGTTTTGTTTTAATTTTCCTTTTAGTTAATAAAATGCAATGTTGGTTTATCTTACTTGTTAATAATATAGGTAAAGGCAATGTGGCTTAGCAAGTTGATCCATGGGTTCATGAGTTTATTTCCATGCCCTAGTCAATAAAGCTTGAGAAGTTCAAACCTCATCATTGAAGTTATGCTGGAATAATTGGCATGTCAAGGTTTATCTTGGTTCACCATATTTAAAAGTTATCAAGATTGATTCAAAAGTACAAGTGGTTGATTGAAGAAGTTGTCATGTTTGGACAAGGTCTTGTTCCCAGTGGTCACAAGTGCATATTTCTATCAATTCTCAAGATATGGAAGTGGTTTTGCTTGCTATGAGTTCTCATTATCATCCTCAACAACTTCTATTTACAAATCAAGATTTTTGGTACAAGAAGGTTGTTCAAAATTGTCAAAGTTCCTCAAAGCATTTTCTTCATCTAGGAGCTAGGGTTTTGAACTTCAAAGAAGTATATCTTGCTCATATTTTGGTATTTTTGAGTGATTCCAAATACATCCTTCTCTTAAAAGGGTTATTAATAAATCACTTCAAAAGTTTCAAGGAGTTATCATGTGGAAGAAGCTTGATGATGAAGAAAGATTACAAGTCCTCCAGATGAACCTCCAAATTCCCATGTGTGACTTCAAATGAGCATAACTTGGTAAATATTTATCACATTGAGCCTAATATTTTTCTAAAATGATCTTGAGGATGTGAACTTTATTCCTTATTTTATGTGCAAAGTGAGAAAATGGATGGAAGATGCCCTAAGGATATAAAATATTATAGGTCATTTCATGATTTTTTTCCAACTTCAACAATTCATAACTCTCTCAATTTTTGAAGATTTTTAATGGTTCAAGTTTCAAAATGTCATTCAAGAGGTCTATTTCATGCCATCTTTTTTGGTCAGGAGCAAATTCCAAGTGGAAGGCCATGTTTGGATGCAAAACATTATAGGTCACTTTTGAAGAAAAACTTGAAATATTTCTAAGTATGCAAAGTTAACCTTTTTCCCCAACTTTGACTCATTGCAACTTTTAGCTCAAACATCCATTTGATTCCATTCTTTTCCCATTGCAAAGCTTGTAACCTCATCTTTCTAAAGCATCAAGAATCATGCCCTAAGACCCCTTGAGTTGGGAATGCCATTAAGTTGAACTTGGTAATTTGAAACTGAAGTTTCTTCATAAGTCAGAATTTGAAATTCATGTTTTGGCTTCTAAACGTCAAATTAGCACGCGTTTGTGATCTAAACATGTTTAACCAAGTTGCCAAAGTGGATTAGAGCCTTAAAACGCAAGGATTGGATGAGTTTTGATGCAAAACAGATCACACCTTACTCGTGTATCAGGTTCACACGATTTCCTTCCAAACTTCATGATTTCACACGCTTGGACATTCCATTTGATTCCCTATAAATAGAGGGTCATCCCTCATTCATTTCCTCAAGCTTGGATAGCCAGAATCACCCTGCCAAACTTGCCCCATAACTCAATTTTCTGTAACTTCGAAATCAGTGTTCAAGCCTTTTTCAATCCAATTTCAATATCAATTCACCTTCCTTGATCTTCCCTGAAGCTAACCATACAATTACCTTCAAGAATCGTGCCCTATATTTCTCCATAAAAGTCCAGTTTCAGAGCTCTGCAACTCAACTTCAATAGGTAGATTTCTCCATCAATTCTTCAAAACATTGATATCATTATGAAGCTCTCATTGCCCTGGTTTTAGTTGCAACACTTGCTTTTATCTGGAAACACGTTTTGACCATGAAATTTCAAATCCCTTTTCAAAACTTTCTTTCAAAATTTCTTGAGCTATAGTTTATATAAATTTGTCGCGAAGGTGTGGTTGTCTTCGTCTTGAAGAGACGAAGCGAATGACATAGGTCTCGTGCTCTAGTTTTACAGATTGAGCAACATGGTTTTGGGACTGGCTGGAGGTTGAAGATGACCAACGTGTCATCCTTCAACTAATGAAACAACGCCATTTGTCTTTTTTGAATTTTTTATTTACATTTGATTCAGTGCATTATTCACAAAAGTCCAAAAAATGCACAGCGCGCTAGGTCCATTTGATCTGTTTACTAACGCGTTTTGACATTGATCAGATTGCCCATATTTTTTTGGTTTTTATTTTCTTTTCTGATTTTTATATTTAATTGTTTAAAATTTCAAAAAATCATAAAAAATTCAATTTTAGTACAAAAAATCTGAAAAAAATTATGAAAAATATATTTGATTTTTCTATTTCTGATTTTTATTTTTTCACAATTTTATTGTGTTTTGATATTTTTTTATAATTTTTCACTTTATTTGATTTTTTTTAAATGTTTAAAAATACTTTTATACATTTTTAAATTCTGAAAAAATTGCAGAATGATCCAATGATATTGTGACAAATGTTGGTGACTTCATTTATTTTTATTTCTGACTTTGGTGTTTTTTTTATCATTTTTGGTTTATTTTACTCATTTCTTTTAATTTTAAAAATAGTTTCTGACTTTAAAAAATTACCAAAAATTTTTAAAAATATTTGAGTCCTCTCCTGATTTTTCTATGGTCTTACTTAATATTTCTTGATTAATTTGAATATAGTTGATATTTTTCTTTTTTTATTTCTATTTTAAAACCCTTTTTAATGTATATATTAAATGCAATATTATTTTGTGATTATTTTCTGGCTGTCTTGGGTTGAATTTTGATCATGAACTTTGTTAACATCATTGGATCCATGGTGTTGAGTCTAACTCCATAAAAATGGATGAATGATTTTCATAATAGTTGGATTAAATTTTAATTCAAATGTGGTTTGTATATTCTTTCCCACCACTCTTCATCTCATCCCTTTCTTATTGCACTAAGCGTTATTAGGGCATGATCTCTATATCATGTCTTAAAACAAATGGTGCATAGATTGCTATTGACCGGCCTCAAAATAGGTGTGACCTGTATATAAGTCCACTTACGATTGCTTAACATAGCGCTAAATTTTGTCCCGATTCGAATAAATGATCATTCGTGGCCCAAACTTATGTCTGCAAGCCCAAGTATGTTAATTTGATCTCTTTGATCCAATAACCTTGCGATTCATTGTGTGGAGGCTTTGGTTCTACAATCCTCTAATGGGTTTATAACACTTTTTGTCAACGCGGATCACTTAAACATCGTTGATCATTAAATAATACTTTTGAGGTTTCCAAATAGATGATATACTTGACAAAAAGAAAATGCAACTTGTTGTGTGGAGGCTTTGGTTCTAGCAATCCTCTAATAAGTTCCAAATGCAAGTTTCAAGATGGTCATCCAACTAACCACTAATTATTAATTTGTTTTTACTTTATGCTTTTATTTTTTATGCTTTATGTACCATTTATTTTAAGCATTACATTTCATGCCATTTTTATTTTGCTCACTTGAGCATTTACTTTCTTGTCATTTTTTATTTTGCTCACTTGAGCTTTTCTTTTCTTTTTCAAGACACCTAATAATCAACATGAAACCTAAAAAAGGATTTAATGATACTTGGACTATTTGGTTACTATCATTAGCATTGTGGAGTATTGGACTTCTTGGACTTAGGCCTAGAAACCTTTGGCCTATGTTAGAGACGTTGATACCTTGATTGATATTTTGTCTGGAGTTCTTGAGGTTTACCTCAAGACATTGGGTTTTTGTTTGCTTTGTGTGCAGGCTATTGTGATTACACTCTTTGTTTGTAATCTGGAATTCACCCGTATACAGCTGTTACTCTGTCTAATTTTTGTGAAGACTTAATACACTTGAAGTTTAGTTCTCTCAAGAGGTCTAGTACCTTTGCTTGCTTGGTTTCAATGCAAATAATGAGAATTCTATCTTGACTCATAATGTTAAGTATTGGCTTCTTGTTGGTTAGATGGTTCTTATCTCTAGCTTTTACCTTATGCTTTAGGTAGTTCCTTCTTCTCCTCCCATATTCTTTAATTTCAAAAATCTCCTTCCTCCTTTTGAAAACTCTTCTTGTTTTGAAACTTGGACTTATGTCCATGCATTTTCAAAATATTTTTCATAAATAAACTTCAATCAATTTAATAATACCTTGACATTTTTTGTGAGAAGACTAAAGTCAATCAATCTCATTTCAATCCATTTTGCCACTTTGGCTTTTTTATTTTAAAATCTTTCTCAAAATATTAGACTCTTGTCAATCCTTATACTGATGCAAACAACTATACTTCTACAATAAGTAGTGAAGAGAGATATTTTCCACTTGAGTGTTGTGTGAGGCATTATTGATTTTAAAATCCAAGCCATATCCTCCACTTTGAGATGATGCAAATTCTCCTTTCTCATGATTGTGGGTAATAAGTATGTTTTCCACACGGACAATG